TGGCCAATATGGTGAAACCCCATCTCTACTAAAAATATAAAAATTAGCTGGCCATGGAGGCAAGTGCCTGTAATCCCAGCTACTCAAGAGGCTGAGGCAGAAAATTGCTTGAACCCAGGTGGCAGAGGTTGCACTGAGCTGAAATCACGCCACGGCACTCCAGCCTGGTGACAGAGTGAGACTCCATCTCAAAAACAAAAAGAAAAAACATAAAGCCTTTTACTTTTCCATTATGTTATGAAACCATGAAGGTACTCACACTTGAAATAGACAATGATGTTAGGAACATGGGAAACCTTTCCTTTCTCTCTCAATTCTTTGAAGGCACACGGTGTGACACACTGGTGATAGACCTCACAACTGTCAGGAACATGGAATATGGTTTGTCCTTGTTTATTTCAGATACATGAAAGAATTTACTCTGGAGAGAAACTGAATGTAAATAATGTGGTTAAAAAAAAGAGTGAATTTTACTGTATGTAAATTGAAAAATATAATTTTTTATACGGAATCTGACTCTGTTGCCCAGGCTGGAGTGCAGTGGCACGATCTTGCCTCACTGCAACCTCTGCCTCCTGGGTTCAAGCGATTCTCATTCCTCAGCCTCCCTAGTAGCTGAGATTATAGGCTTGAGCCACAGCACCCAGCTAATTTTTTGTATTTTTAGTAAAGATGGGGTTTCACCATGTTGCCCAGGCTGGGGACCTTTGCCTCAAGTGACCTCAAGTGATCCGCCCACCTTGGCCACTCAAAGTGCTAGGATTACAGGTGTGAGCCACCATGCCCAGCCAAAATATAATTTTTAATCTTCAATGTAATTAGGGGATTTTGCGAATACTTTGTGATCGCTTTTTGTTCAGATGTTGTCCTTGAGTGTTTGGTTTGCACCTTCCTTTTGCCACCTCTGTTTTTACGGGGCAGGCACTCTTCTGCAGGAGGGTGTTCTGGCCATAGGATCCAGGGAAAGTGGGGCTGGGAAGCGCATCTCCAGGGATGTCTACACAGCAGAATGCAACAGTAATTCAAGTGTTGCTTTCTTTGGGGCTTTGAGGTAGAGGAACTTCTGCAGGCTGTGGAAGCTAAACCTTGTGCATCAGTGACACTTCAGACACCCACTGTTTACTGTGCCACAGACATTGTCCTGCCCAAAATGTGCTCCCCCTTCAAGACCTCTCCAAGATAGACCCATCACCACCATGGCACCAGTTGGCAACATGGATCATTGACTGTACCAGGTCCTCTAGATCATTGAGCCCCCACAAACAAGCTCTTCTGGGGATTTCAGCTTTCCCCTTCCTGATTCCACGTGCCAGCTCATTCAGCTTTGTTTACATAGAATGGATTTTCAGTTATTCCATACCAGTACCCTACATTTCCCTGTTCCTTTTACCTTCATGTCTCCCACCTAGCAGAATTCCTGTGACAGAGGAATCCAACTCTGCCTTCTCCAGGTCTCCTGTTAGGTCTTCAGCACTGTAGAGCACAATCCCTAACCTTTTTGGCACCAGGGACTGGTTTCATGGAAGACAATTTTTCCAAGGACAAAGCAGGGTGGTGGGGGGGATGTTTTTGGGATGAAACTTTTCCATCTCAGATCATCAGGTATTAGATTCTTTTTATTTATTTACTTATTTTTAATTTATTTTTAATTTTTTATTTATTTCACCATAATGGCCAGGCTGCTGTTGAACTCCTGACGTCAGGTGATCCACCCACCTCGGCCTCCCAAAGTGCTAGGATTACAGGCGTGAGCCACTGCACCCGGCCGGCATTAGATTCTTATAAGGAGCGCAAAACCTTGATCACACACATGAGAAGTTCACAATAAGGCTCGCACTCCTATGAGAATCTAATGCTCCCACTGATCCGCCAGGGGATGGAGCTCAGGCAGGAGTGCCCCCTTGCCTGCTGCTCACCTCCCGCTGTGCAACCCCATTCCTAACAGGCCACACATCGGCACCAGTCAGTGGCCTGGGGGTTAGGGACCCCTGCTGTAGAGGATATCATAGGGCCCTGCTATTATGCCAAATTCATGATCAATTCTTCAGTGGAACTGAGGACTCAACACTACTCAGTCATTCTGCAATGTTCCTGTCTCTTCTTTTTTTTTCTGATTGTGAAATATGTCCTACATACTGAAGAACTGTGAAATGCAGATGTGCAGGCTCAAGAATAAACCCATCACTGGGGTGAAGCAGTGTGGCACAAGCCCTCCCCACTGCCTCCTCCCAGAGGTAACCGCTATCCTGATGTTTATTTCCCTGACCCTTTAAACTTCCACCCCTAGATGGGTATGCCAGGTTTTGAACTTTTGGGAATGGAATCATACTCTGTGTCGTCAATATTATGTTTCTGAACACAATATTGTTTGTGTCGTCAATATTATGTTTCTGAAATCCACCCATGTTGATGGGTGTAGCTCTCCTTCATTCATGTCAACTATTGTTTGGTACTCAATGAAAATACAGTGGTGTCCCCGCCCCACATCCAGGGTTTCACTTTCCAAGTTTTAGTCACTGGTAGTCAACTGGGGCCTGAAGATAGGGGAGTACAATACAGTTAAGATATTTTGAGAGACCACATTCACATAATTTCTATTATGTTATATTTTTATAATTGTTCTATTTATTATTGGTGATTGTTGTGAATCTCTTACTGTGTCTAATTTATAAATTAAACTTTATCATAGATATGTATGTATAGGAAAAAATAGTATATACAGGATACTACAGAAATATATTTCATGCATCTGCTGGAGGTCTTGGAGAGGAAAGCTAAGGGGAGACTACTGTATTTGGTAGTATCCCACCACCACAAAAGTTATGTATGAGGTAATGCATACATTAACCAGCTTGATTTCACCATTTCACAATGTATACATATATTAATACAACACATTGTACACTATAAATACATACAATGTTTGTCTATTTAAGCAACTAATTAACTTTTAAAGGCACACTATAGTAGATGAATTCAATCTACTGCTAATAGACATTTGGGGCATTGACATGTTTTTACTATTATGAACAATGCTGTTATGAGCATTCATCTATTCACTGAACAATGTTTCTTGAGTACCTACTGTGTACTGGTTACTATTTTAGGCATTGGGATACAACGGTGATCAAGAAAATGAAAATTCCTTCCCACAGGGGTATTCTAGAGGTGGTTGACTACAATAAGCGGGAAGAAATCGGGAAATTGTGTTGTATGTTAGAGGGCAGTAGGCACTCACTGGGAACGAAAAGCAGAGAAGGCGAAAAGTACCGGGGTAGGGGCTACAAAGCCCTGAGTCGACATCTGGGCAGAGACTTATTCTAGGCCACCTGTATTTCTGACCCAACTGGCTACAAATTTAGAATTCAGTGGAGTAGAATTCACTGAAACACCCTCAGAACTCAGTGTTCTGCTCATGATGACACCTTCACCATAGCGGAAAGGGCCAAGTTAGGACCAGCCACAAGAAGAGTCTCAAAAAAAAAAACAAAAAAAACAAAAGCAGTCTTGAAGGATGAGGTCTGGGAGGGTCCCAGACGCAAAGCTTCCATGGCCTCTCCCAGGGAGTCAGGGGCATCACCATCCTGACACATCCATGGGTAACAGCTTGCATGAGGCATTGCTCATGAGAGAGGCTCACTCGAGCTTGTGTGTCTAAAGTTGGGTTTCTGTGTCCAGGGCTTCATTGCACAGGCATGACTGAGCCACCAGCATCATGTGCTTCACCTCTAGCTCCTCTCCCAGGAAGTTGGCATGATAGTAGATGGCTCCAAGCCCCGCCCTCTAACCTTTCTGACCTGACCAGCCCTACTCTGAGCCATCTTGGGATAAATTCAGATGTGGTCCGAGGTGCCCACCAGGAATAACAAAGACATTCCTGTCACTGGGGAAATTCCAAGGATTTAGAGGCTCCTTTCCAGAAACCAGGACAAAAGCTGGCCCAATTCCTCATTCCACAG